GTGGAGTCTCAAATAAGATTCTTTAATAGTTTCCTAGCACTGGTATGTTAGTATTCTCTATTGCTTTTCCTGTCATGAAGCCCCATTTTTACTAGCAGCTCTGTAGGTGTGTGCAAATGTTCAGTTCAGAAATGTGAACACCAGATGTGATGAGCTGCTAAGCAGGAGAAGCCAAATCTGGACATCCAGTGAGACGGAGCCATCCAAACACCAGTCGATTTCCAGTTCACCTTTCCTGGCTGGGCTTACAAGGACTGTTCCCTTCTCTGGTCATCAGAGCAATAATTCCTTTGGGCCTTGACCTGCTTGTTTCTCATACTCACTCAGTTCTTACCTTGCCAGGGAAGGTCCAAGCATGGAATTTCACAGGAGGAGGCTAATGCCTCTTAATCTTAAAGTTTCACTATTATCTTTCAGCCCTTCACTGAAAAGTTAACGTTGGTGCCCATACATATTTTCTTGTTGTTTCAGTAGGGCTTCAAACAGATGACAACAATATCGATTTTTCCCTCATGCCATTAGGTTTGTGTTATAAGGAAAATATCAATATTCCAATCAATCTAAAAAGCTATAGTATCATATTTTGTAAATTTTTAAAAACCTGCAATGCTACACATAGAGCTATAAATAGTATTAGCAGTACTAATTATCATGTCCAATTGTGGACATGTGCATCTCTCCTTATCATTGCTTTTTGAACCAGCTCCCCTGTCTTTATGCTCACAGCCAGAGTCCATCTTCCCCACTTTGAGGACTAAGAGCATTTACACAATTATCCATTAATGTGAGAGATAGGGGTGGGGGCTCGGAAAGCAGTGGACAAGTCCCTTGACAGATTACCTCCTAAAGGCAACTCAGCCGACGTGAAGAGAGTACTGGGGAAAAGCTGTGTAAAGAGGCTAACTTACTATAAATATAAATTCCTACTATATTTTCCAAGATACTGTATGTACCTGAGACTAGGTACCTGGCCTTGGCACCTATTTGAGACTTGACAACTAGCAACATCACAGTAAAAGCTACTCTCTGAATATTTGGGGCATTAAGCCTCCACCATAATGGTCTGAAAAGGTATAGTGTTTAA